ACACACACACACATATATATATATATATATATATATATATATATATATATATATATATATATATATATATATATAATGTAATGACTGTTTTGGTCTATTTTAGCAGCGAGCATAGATCCGATGAATCCAAACAAAGATCACAAATTTGCACTTTTTTTTTCAGTTTTTTTTCCCTCCCATCCTGTAGCCTACTCGCGCCCCCCTGCGAGAGTGTCTGGGGGTCCCGCCCCACCGGTTGAGAACCACTGCTATACAGTATGCTAAAATCAGTATGCGAGTCGAGTAGTATGTCCAAATTCATGGATTTCGAATATTAGTATGCAGGAAATACCCAGATGACTTACTACTTCCGGCAAAATTCTGAAGTGCACATCCTATTATCTCATGATGCCCCGTGAGAGAATTCATGAATGGGAATCGATGCAACTGACGCAGGTAAGCCATGTGACCATGACAAAATGGAGGATGAAGTACGTCCGAATTCCATTCATACTTTTCAACTTCATACTGTATAGAACGTACTTTTCTAATGGCTGAGTAGTACGTTTAAATTAAAATGCAGTACCTACTGAGTAATAGGCGGTTTCGGACGCAGGCATTGTCTTTCATATTCCGAGATGTCGTAAAACAATTTGTTCTTTATCAAACTCTGATAAATTAGCTGCTTTTCCCATTCTGACCTAAAGCTGGCATCGGATATTATACACACTGCACCATTTGGCATATCAGCGCAGCTCTTATTCAACAGCAGCATTCTAATTTCCTTTTAAGTAACACACCATGAGGGCGTTCCATCCGCAGGGGGTCAAAAACAACCTCTCATCTCAGAGAATTCCGTTCTCTCGCACTTACACTTTAAATGTTGATGTCTCGGTTGCTGTTTCATGGAACAGATGGTCGGTGAGCACATTATCTCTCAAAAGAGACATTAGGGAGAAAAAGACTTCCAATATGTTCAAGTCTGGCTTTCTTTCAAACATAATCACCGTTTTCTTGCATCAGCACAATCCCTGACAAACTTTGGAATCCAGCAGTATTACATTACCGCCTGACTTTGTTGTCTTAGGGGTCATGGCGCAAAAAACAAAAGCACATTTGAAGAGCTAACCATATTGAAGGCATGCAATTATAATTCACCTCAACATGATATAATGCACATTAGGTGTTTAGATTTAAACAAATCAGCAAGATCTTTGTAAATAACACTCACATTTAACTTACATTTAACTGTCTTAAGTTAGGGGTGTCCAAACTCGGTCCTGGATGGCCGGTGTCCTGCATGATTTAGCTCCAACTTCCCCTAAACACACCTGCATGGAAGTTTATAGTATACCTAGAAAGAGCTTGATTAGCTGGTTCAGGTGTGTTTAATTGGGGTTGGAACTAAAACATGCAGGACACCGGCCCTTCAGGATCAAGTTTGGACACCCCTGTCTTAATGCCGAGTTCAGACTGCATGATTTTCAAAGTAGTTGTGTTACAGATGTTTTCACACTGCATGACTATCTGGGCTAGCGTTTCATCGCTGCTTTGTTTACACTGCAATGGATCGGCGACATGGACATTCACATTGCATGACTTTACTATAGGAAAAATCGCTGACAACTTCGTCCAAACTACGTCTCACAGCCAAAAACACGTCGTATATCTTTTGTTATTAACTACATAATGAGAAAGAAGCCTTTAATGGGGTAGAACATGTACATGTTTGCTCACCTGAGTTTAAAGGGAATTAGCCATTTCTCCTCAACGTTGATAATAAACTAATTTCTTTCTGTATGAAACGTCAAACAGACACAGTTGCTCCTGAGTCCTGTCAAACCTCCACTAGTTTTTCCTCCATTTCGTGGGTCCAAATAAACCGAAAAAGAGCGCTTTTAACTTCTCCCCCAGCCTCCCGCTGGCCTGCAGCAGGTATACACACACGCACACACAAGTGAAAGCTGCTCTTTCATTGGCTGTAGGCGATGGCTGATGTTATTTTCAGTCAAAACTCAATTCACACAGCATGATTTGAATCGCCGACAGCTCCAGATATTTAGCACGCCAAATATCTCACAGGCATCGGCGACTCATCGGCGATTCTCTCAGATCGCGTCTTTGAAAGTTCATACTGTGTGATTGTCACTCACGTGCACGAGCAGCGATTTGCCTGTGATTTCAGGCATTTGTTGCCGATTTCTCAAAACCTGTCGGCGAGCCAAAATCGGGGCTAAAATCACGCAGTCTAAACTAGGCATAAGTAAACGCTTCTAAAGACATTTTTAATGTATTATGCTGCCATGTCAAAAGTTTGCGTAGACATTGAATTGATGATCAACCAAATATTATTTTTATATTATTCTTTAATATAATAACCACTTTTCCACAAGCCATTAACTAGTGCATATTTAGGAAAACTGGACTCACGATATGAAGCATGATGTAGTCTCCTAGTCTGGGGGCGCTGTCGATGCGGACAAGAATTCCATCTTTGATGGTGGTGCTGAAACCCACAGCCAGTCTATCAGTTCGAGTGCTTGGCCTTTCATTGTTGGGCCATGTGTACATGATAAGTCCCCCGCCCTTTCCAAAGATGTACGTTGCTCCAGCTGCAGGGAGGAATAGAGAAAGACCAGTGTAAGGAGATTTTGTACAGATTTAACTGTAACACTTTTCAATAAGGTTCATTAGTTAATGCGTTTACTAACATGAACTAATCATGAACAACACATGTACAGCATTTATTAATCATAATTGAACATTTACTAATGCATTATTAACATCCAAGTCCATGCTTGTTAACATTAGTTGATGCACCATGAGTTAACATGAACTAACAATGAACAACTGTATTTTCATTAACTAACGTTAACTAACGTGAACAAATACAGTAGTAGGTGTATTGTTCATTGTTTGTTCATGTTAGTAAATGCATTAATAAGCATTTACTAATGAACCTTATTGTAAAGGTCAAGAATCTTGGTGTGACTCTGGAGTCAGATCTGAGTTTCAATAGTCATGTCAAAGCAGTCAGTAAATCAGCATACTATCATCTCAAAAACATAGCAAGAATCAGATGCTTTGTTTCCAGTGAAGATTTAGAGAAACTTGTTCATGCTTTTATCAGCAGCAGGGTGGATTACTGTAACGGCCTCCTCAATGGCCTTCCTAAAAAGATAGTCAGACATTTACAGCTCATCCAGAATGCTGCAGCCAGAATTCTGACCAGAACCAGAAAATCAGAGCACATCACACCTGTACTCAGGTCTTTACACTGGCTGCCAGTTACATTCAGAATAGATTTTAAAGTATTATTACTGGTCTATAAATCACTAAATGGCCTAGGACCTCAATACATTACAGATATGCTCACTGAATACAAACCTAACAGATCACTCAGATCTTTAGGATCATATAAACTAGAAGTTCCAAGAGTTCAGTCAAAGCAGGGTGAATCAGCTTTCAGCCACTACGCCCCCCGCTGCTGGAATCAGCTTCCAGAAATGATCAGATGTGCTCCAACAGTAGGCACATTCAAATCAAGACTGAAAACACATCTGTTTAGCTGTGCCTTTACTGAATGAGCACTGTGCTGCGTCCGACAGATTGCACTATTATGTTTTTCTCTTCTTCTTTATTCTTTTATATCACATTTTACCTGTTTTTATGTTTTTTAATCAGTTTTATTATTTGTTTTTATTTATTTATTTTTTTACTTGTTTCTTTTATTCTTGTTTATGTAAAGCACTTTGAATTACCACTGTGTATGAAATGTGCTATATAAATAAACTTGCCTTGCCTTGACTTGCCTTGCCTAAAGTGTGACCGATTTAACATTTCATTTAATTAATTTACAATGAAACAACTAGCTGTTACTGTTGAAATCCAAAAAGTGTCCATGTTTGCTAGTGCAAAATTGCATCTTATTTCATTGCAGCAGAAAGCAAAAAGCTTACAAAGAGCTTACAATCATACCGCTACAGACATGAGTGATCAAAATACTGATGTAAATATAATAAGTTCGGCATAAAACTGGATGTGTGGAAAAAAATCCCCTTATGTGCACCCTTAAATTAACTTATTTCAGAAACCACAACTTGATCCTGATTTCTTTTTATATCAAAGATACAGGATCATGTTTTTTTTTTCTACATGAATTTGTTGAGAAATGCTATTTGAGGATACACAATCAGGTTTCAGAGCACTCTGGATCGAGTGAACTCTGGATATTGAACCGATGATATTCATCTGTCATGTGAAGACCCTTCTTGCGCCTTAAAAATATTGCTAAACTGAACATATGCCCTTAATGCCTACTGTGATAAAGCTAATCCATGCATTTGTGACCTCAAAGCTAGAAAATGTGTCAGTTGTTGTTTGTTATACAGAATAAATAAACTGCTGGTTAAAAATACTGCTTAAGTGCCTACTAAAATCAATAAATATTCAAATCTGCAGCAACTGCATGATGCAATCATGTCAATATAGACCAAAATATATACAGAATATTTCCAGTACCTTGTTGAATCTATGCTACGAAGGATTAAAGCAGTTCTGAAGGCAAAAGGGGGTCCAACCCAGTACTAGTAAGGTGTACCTAATAAAGTGGCCGGTAAGCGTACAAACAAAACAATCCATTCTGTTGCTTAGGCCGTACTCACAGTAGGTACAGTTGCCTCGAAGCGGGCCAAAGCACGCTTGTCCCCCCTCCCGTCTCCCCCGACGGCCCGCACTCACACCACAAATGGGCCTCGGCACGCTTACGTCATCGCTGCTGCGCTATTCAGTTAGAAGCGCCCTCTCACTCAGCAGCACAGTGGAGATTTCTCTAGTTATATCGTTTCAGTAGTTTGTTATGCAGTGACGTGCAGTCAAATATTTCACCAAACAGTCCTTAGGGATGCGGTGACACGCAGTCAGATATTTCGCCGAACAGATCCGCCACTTTTGGCGCTCATAAACAATCATAAAGCTCTCGTGCTGCACTAATGAGGAGGTCTGCCGAAGCCGCGCAGCTGTCGTGCAGTGAGAAGTTCTCGTCTTTAATAAACTACAGCAGTTTGCTTTCACTGAACAGTAAGAATGATTAATAAATCCATATGAAACAGACCCTTAAAAGTCACGTCCCGCTTTCAGTTTCAGGCCAAAGCCCAAGTAAACCGCGCTCAGGTACACCTCTTCCAACTGGGCCAGGGCCGGCCAAGTGAACCATGCTTGAGCCCGATTCAGCGCACTCACACTTCTCAAACAATCCGGGAAACGGGCCTGGGCACGGTACGGATGGCATAGTGTGAGTAGGCCCTTACTTACTAAGTCCTAAATAGTAAAACTCCCTGTTTTCTGTGCAAACTCCTGTCACATCACAGCCATTCATGCCCAATGTATTCAGAAAATGGCCTATTGATAGTACCAAAAAATAAAAGTTGGCAGTAGATCTCTCTGTTATATAGAACCTAAAGTCTGGTGCACCCTAGTAAAGTTTGGGATGAACATTCTTCCTGTTTAAACCTAGCTTAAAAACCCATCTCTTTTCATTACCATACACATGAAGCACAATCAATAAGGGATAGACTGCAATTATTAGGGAAACAAGTACACTTACAAAACAGCATTGTAAGAAGAATTGCATGTACAATACACACATGCAAGTTTGTTTGTCCTTTATCCTGAGGTTAACATACTGTAGTTACTTGGATCTGATCCATACCCTGACCAGATGATTGACCTGCAAAGACAATCACAGCACTGACCTCCAAGGTCATGGGGACTTCGGTGAGATAAGCTCACAGGTCTAGTCCTCAGCAGCCACCCAGTTGATTGGACAAGCCTTCAACAAAGATTCCTGTCTGGACTGCGACCTGCACCTCTAAAACTCATTTCACATGGCATGATTTGAATCACCGACAGCTCCAGATATTTATCACGCCAAAAATCTCACGAGCATCGATGACTCATCGGCGATTCTCTCAGATTGTGTCTTATAGTTCATATTGTGTGTTTGTCACTCATGTGAACGAGCACTGATTTGCATGTGATTTCAGGCATTTTTCGGCGATTTTTCAAAACCTGTCGGCGAGTTAAAATCGTGGCTAAAATCATGCAGTCTGAACTCAGCATAACATATTTTCTAACTGAACTGCAACTCTTCCTCAATTGTGTCTACGTGCAAAGAGTTGGATCTTTAAGTTTCATTTGGTTGAGATTTGCTCCCATAACGCTGCTGCTTTTGGCTTGCGCACAGTAGTTGGTGTTGGTAGAGCTTCCCTACTGTAAATCACATCCTTCAAAAATGATATCTGTATTGAACTGAACTGAAGCAGACCATCATTAAACTAAATCAGCATTCAGTGGCACTGCCTAATGAACTGAATTTGTTCCATACAAAAAGAAAACAATTTACTGCTCTTTAATGGAGAATTTAGTTTGTTACAACTGAACGAGAAGAATGAGTGTAATCTAAATAATAAACAGCATTTAAAACTAATGAACCAATAGCATCAAATTCAGTACTGCTGCATTATATGTAATATTGTGTGTGCATTACTGTTTATTTTGACATGAATTTAATGTCACAGCTATTTGAAACAAAACATGTCAAGCACTGCTCAGAGTTAAATATATTTAATTTGCTTTTAGGTACTTGGCATTGCTTTGACAATCAATCAATCAATCAATCAATCAATCAATCAATCAATCAATCAATCAATCAATCAATCAATCAATCAATCAATCAATCAATCAATCAATCAATCAATCAATCAATCAATCAAGAACCATGCAATTGAACTGAAATTGTGTGTTTAAATGTAAGCCAACAACAATAACATGTAATATATTGCTAAATTGTTAGTTTTACTGACAGTTTTAAGGTGTAGGATCAGTATCTTGTTTTATAATTGCGGTTCATGCAGAATAATAATAATAAAAAAGTCTGAGAACGCTATGAAACCTCCAACGTGGCATTAAAGAAGCACTTTTTTCAACCTAATTTTTATGGCAACTCTTAGACCTTGGCTTGAGTGTCCAGTGCCTGAGCTAAGCTCAAGGGGTATATGCTTGGCCCTAATGCCTTTTAAATGAGGCTCTATCCAGGGAAAAGCTTGAAAAGAAAAGGGGAAAGAAAACTGTCACAGTCTTCATCCATTATACATTAATCTGCAACTAGAGAACAAAAGCAGGCAGACAAATAAAATCAAATACTTTTTTACAGCGGTAGTTTGACAAACACAAAAGGACAAAGAAAATAGTGGACGATGACCCTTTAATCACAAATCCTCTTCTTACTTTATTTTATTTTAATTTATTTTATTTTATTTTATTTTATTTTATTTTATTTTATTTTATTTTATTTTATTTTATTTTATTTTATTTTTATTTTTTTCATTTATTTTATTTCATTTATTTTATTTATTTTATTTTATTTTATTTTATTTTATTTTATTTTATTATTTTATTTTATTTTATTTATTTTATTTTTTTATTTTATTATTTTATTTTATTTTATTTTATTATTTTTATTTTATTTCATTTTTTATTTTATTTTATTTTATTTTATTTTATTTTATTTTATTTTATTTTATTTCATTTTTTATTTTATTTTTATTTTTTT